TTCGAACAAATCTTAACTTAATCTAAAATCCGACATTTTTTGCTTTCATTCAATAAAATTAAAAAAAAAAACAAGTAAAAAAGCTGTAAGTTCGGCCGGGCCGAACTTTTAAAACCCCCCACCATTTGGTGCAAATTATCGAATATCGGGGGGGGGGGGGGGTACGGTATATGGGGGCTATACGAAGACGTGGACCTACATGGCCCATTTTCTGTTTTATGCTGTAGTATCTATTACGAAATTTGGAACAATTCCGTTAAATAATGTCGCTAAAATCATGAAAATACCGAATATCGGGGGGTACCGTTGTATGGGAGGTGGACCTACATGGCTCATTTTTTGACTTAGGATGTAGTATCCATTACGAACTTCAAATACCAAATTTGAAACGATTCCGGTAAATAATGTCGCTAAAATCATGAAAATACCGAATATCGGGGGGTACCGTTATATGGGGGATATACCAAGACGTGGTCCTGCACAGATAATTTTCTGTCTTAGGCTGTAGTATCCATTACGAACTTCAAATGCCAAATTTGAAACAATTCCGGTGAATTGTCAAATTAGCCTAGAAGCCTAGCCTAGAATCAGAATGTGCCAAATTTGATTAAGATGTAGCTATAGCACCGATATATAAGTTACATCCGATTTTTTATCTTTCCATAACAAGGATTTTCGGTACAAGATGTTAGGTACATCCTTAAAATACTCTTTCCATGATTGTTTTTTTCGATATCGGTTCAGATTTAGATATGTCTACCTTATATATTTCAAAGACGCAACATTTGTTTAATTAAGTTGTTTCATCCGATTTTATATTTAATTATTCTGAAAGTCATAACATGCACTCCATAACAATGAGTTAGCAATTCGCGTTTTTATTTTGTTGGCATTAAAAAAGGGACAAGTAACAGGACCGAACTTTCAATAATCTCCACCATTTGGAACGAATTTATAAATTTTCATAGGTTATTACAATATTCAAATACGAATTTTAGAACAATTCCGGGGAATAAAAATCAAAATGAAATCATCGAAATACCGAATATGGGAAGTACCGTTAAATGGGTGCTATACGAAGACTGGAAATTGGAAAAAGTACGGATATTGGAAAAAGTACCACTTCCGGGTACCACCATCATAAGCTGAAGAAAACATTTTTATACAAATGCATTTGGATTCAAACGTGTTCCGTTTTAAATATATTTACATATTCAATGCCCTACCTTCGGAGCTAGAACCTATTACGAACTACAAATACCGATTATTAAACAAATCCAAAAAAAAATGTGGCTAAACCATCAACATTACGAATATCGCAAGGTACTGTTATATGGACCTATAATGCGGAGGTACCGTTATATGGGGGCTATACGAAAACGTGGACCTATACATACAATGTTTTTCCACAAAAAGTAGGACCCATTATAAAATCTATGAACCGAATAATGAGCAATTTAGTTTAAAAACGGAGTATCTGGAAGTATGGTTATATGAGGGCTATAAGAAAACGTATACGAAACGTTGAGATAGAAGACTATTATTTTGCCCAGACGCAGGCTAAGTTGGTAAATGGACCATGTCGGTCCACGTTGTCGTTTAGAACCCATATAATGGTACCTCCCAAATATTCGGGATTTTAATTATGATAGCGATATTATTACACGGATTTTTTTCAAATTTCGTATCTGAAATTCAGAATCGGTACTACAGCCAATGACGGAAAATTTTATGCAGGTCCAAGTCGTCGTATAGCTCACATATAACTGTACCTCCCTTTATTCGGTATTTTGATGATATTAGCGACATTATTCACCGGAATTGTTTCAATTTCTTGTTTTCTTTGGAATCTACCTATGGCAGAAAATTATTTATAGGAAAAAAGAATAAAGGTGTTTTAGGTTGACCTCTCTTGCTAACAAATATGTTCAACGTGGAATACATCAAAAAGAGATATTTCAGGTTTTCAATAACTATTATTTTGTATTTTTATACCCTACACCACAAGGTGGTCAGGGTATTATGTCTTTGTGCATTTGTTTGTAACAGGCAAAAGGAAACGAGATAGACACATAGTTCCTTTTGATGATCTGCATAGAATCACGTTCTGAGTCGATTTTTGCATGTCCGTCCTTCTGTCCATGTATTTTTATAAACAAAGTACAGTTCGCATTTATTGCCCTATACAGATGAAATTTTGCACAAATCATTTGTTTGACCCAAGGACGAACCCTATTAAAATAATATCAGCAAGAATAGTATGGAATTTTGCACATACAACCAAATTAGGCCTGGATTTAGGCCATCCGATTTGTTATTTTTGTCCTCCGCAGCCGTAATATGCACTCTGTAACAACAATATTTGGGGAAATATATTAAATACAGCTCAGAAATACATTTGCTAAATTTTATCGAGATACATAACTTCGTCCGATTTACCTTTCATTGTGCACCAAACGTCTAATATTTGTCCAAATAGGATGGTATTTACCAATTACGACCGAATTGAGTCTAGAAGCTAGTATGCCAAATTTGGTGAATATCGGTTCAGATATAGCTATAGCTCCCATATATATATTGTTCATCGGATTTTTTGTATTTGTTACCCACAGCCGTAATATGCACTCCGTAACAACGATATTCAGGAAAATATATCTAATACAGCTCAAAAATATCTTTGCCAAATTTTAGTGAGATCGGTTCCGATTTGGATATAGCTCCCATATATATCTTTATCCGATTTCAAATTAATTGTGCACCAAATGGGCAATACAAGTCCGAATTTAAAAGACACAAATGCTTCGGCATATTTAGTCCTTTGAACTTTAAAGTGGGGTAGGGTTTATAAAGTCGGCCCCGCCCGACTTAGAGACTTTCTGTACTGTTTTTTTTTGATTTCATTACATTAGAAGTTGTGTTACTTGTGGCAATCACAATAACTTAAAAAGCAAGTGTATAAAAAATATCTCTATATATAAAAGAAAGTTGTGTTAGTTACTACGCTTATAACCCAAGAACTGCTGGTCTGATTTAAACTATTCAGACAAATTCGGAATTGTCTCTTGGCAGAAAAGGATAAAATCAAAAAACTCGCGTAAAATGCCATATGTTTACAATTTTGTTTTAATTATTCATTTGACAACAGTTCATTGTCAAAATGTACAAACACATGTACACATTGCACATACACACATCAGAGATGGGAACCTGTTTTTTATACAGTGAAATTTGACAAGGTAAATTACAGAAAATGTAGAGATGGGAATGCTTATTTGAAATGACTTTACCTTCTTAATATTGCATGATTTTTTCCATTTTGACTTGCTATTTTCGAATGTACATTTGTAGTGTTTTTATTTTCTTTTTGAATTCTAATATGATGTGCAGTCTTTTTAGGGTAGCACAAAGCGACAACGGACAAAACAGTTATTTATAGATTTTATGTATTTATTGGGCAAGTGGAACTATACGAACAATATCATATAAAAGAAAGTTATGTTAGTTACTGCCTTAAAACTCATAAACAGGTTGACGGATTTTGACAATTCATACAATTTCAGAATGATATCTTGGCAAAAAAATCGCGTGAAAATATACCTGTAAAAATGTGAATGAAAAATTATTTTTGGTGTGCATTTTTTTTTCAATTTGACATACTATACAGGGTGAGATGAAAAAACTGCAACCATCTTTAGACTGCTGTCATTCCTAAGTCACTCGTCCGACAGCTGTTAAAATTATTCCAGATAAAGCTCATTATATTTTTTAAAAGCGTACAAAAGCAATTTGGTGAGAATTTTCCAGAAAAAAGTTATTCGCGATGGAATTCAAGCGTGATAGTGTGATTGTGCGATCTTAATATTCCATTCGGCAAATATTGAAAAATGAGCTCGGGGTGTGCACCTTCGGTTGGCCACCAGAACTCGCTCGCGATGATCGCTCTCCGCTCGTATTAATCGACCGTGACATCAGAATAAATGCCGAATATTATCGCGAAAATTTTCTGGAGGGTGTATTAAAGTCTTAGGCACGCAAACCACAGACCTTGGACATTCTGACAGGACTCAGCACGCGTCACCAAAGAATGGTTACAAAATGAGGTTCCTCGCTTCATATCCAGCGCACAATGGCCATCAAAATCTCCGGATATCAATCTGTTGGACTATTGTGTCTGGAGTATTTTGGAAAGCAAGGTTGGCACTAAAAAGTACAAGTGTCGATCACCTCAAGCAAGCGCTTCGCCGGAAATGTGGCCAAAATACCGCAGAGCAACATTCGGGCAGCGTGTGACGGTTTCATTGGCCGTTTCGTGTCAAAGGTGGCCAATTCGAACAAATCTAAACTTATTCTAAAATTTTATGCTAGTTTCGAAATTTTTTGCTTTCATTCAATATTTGTTGAAGTTTTTTTTATCTCACCCTGTATATGGGTGCTATAGCTATAATGGAACTGATTTGGTCCAAATATGGCAAACTTTAATCTTGAGGGGAATATATATGGGAGCTATATGTAAATCTGAATCGAGTTCAAATTTCTCAAAAGTATTTCTAAGCTGTATTTGCTGCCACGCACCGAGTATCTTTGTTATATAGAGTTCATATTACGATTCCGAGGGAGCTAAATCTATATTGTTGCCGATTCGGAAGAAATTTGGCATATGTTGTTCTCGTCCTAATCAGGACCTAAAAACGAAATTTGGAAGTAATAGCTAGTCCCTGTGATTTCTTGCCTCAAAAACGTGCGAATGGTCCCATAGTGCATTGTAAAATCGTCAATGAAGACTTCATATTTTTGTTTATCTTCGACTCCTGTGCGTTTTTATTATTCAGCCATATTCAACAAAGAAAAATGTCATTTGTCAAAATTGTTTTGCATTTATTGACTTTGAAGAAAGCTAAAAAAGTGACTGATATCATACAATTTGTTTTTTTTTTTTGTGAACGACAGGTAAGGGAAACAATCGACCCAGTATATATATGTGTGTCGTAGTAAAATACAAATATGTTTCAACATTTAATTAATTTTTCAAGAACTATATATGTATATAACATCTATGACATAGAAATTACACTTATTTACAATCCAATAATTTCACATAAATAATAGGTTTACTTACAAACTAGGTCAATGCCCTGAAATGCTCAATAAATATGCTACATTTCAATAAAATTTTCTAGCAGTAATCTTCAACATTATTTTATAATTTCGGTTTTGTACAAAGCTCTCTTCCTTACTAGCTAGGTATGTATGTATGTATGTATGTATGTATATCCTTAATGTTTCTAAATCGTACTATTTTGATATAAATACGGATTTATATAATTTAGACTTAGACTTAGATTTGAACTTAAAATCTTTAAGAAGTTGTCATTATTTGGGGGTTGCAGACCAACCGAACTGCGGCATCAAACTGTAGTTTGACCGCATTCATGCCGCAAGCTCGAAACCACTTGTTATCAAAATTACGAAAAATTGACTTGAATGAAATTTTGTACTGGATACGGCACTATGTACGATGGCGACAGGCAGGACTTCATACAGGGCGTGTCAGACGTAAAGCGTTTATAGCCAATTACGTTGGGGCTATAATGCATCATTGTGACTTTTTGAGAGGGTGGTCTCGATTTGGTCGATCCGTCGAAATGATGGCACATAAGAACCGCTCGTTTGAGTGACAATCGAATTGTTTGAAGAACTCTATTTTGAAAAAAAAAAAATACACACACACACACTCGCATATTAAACTATTATAGATTTTGGTGGTTTCCGGTATTGGGTTTACCTTTTTCTGGCGGTAGGATCGTGCTCGCACTCTTGTGGTATTACGTCGCACCGGGTTGTTTACTGTGGCCTTCTGCGACAGGCGAACTGAACTGAAGGTACTACCTCTATGACCGCGCCGTATTTGTGGCGATGGCGTACCCGTGGCTATTTACGAGACATTTTTTAAAAAGAATAAATTCTTGAAGATTCCATGCCATACTTACGAGTGCCGGCTAAATTTGTACTCCGTTTGGACGCTTGAAGCATTCCGAACACAACAGCGCTGAACGAGCCGTGGTGTGAAGTTTGACGTTGCAAGTTTGGAGTCTGGGACATGGGAACGCCGGCAGGCATGTGAACCGGTGAGGGCAACTGGCTCTCAGACACACCACGAGGGTGAACAAAATACGTTGTCATTATGCCTTTCCCCTTCACATTAATGTCCCCTCGTTTCTAGAGGAAAATGTTGAAACGTTCACAAAAAATATACACGTTGATTCAAAAATGAGACAACTTACCACACACGTATAGCCCTTTGCCTTGAGCAACTCGGCGGTGGTGTCGGGCACTTGAATCCGCCAATTTTCTCCGGTGGAATCCATGCGTGAAGCTACATTCACCGTGTTGCCCCAAATGTCGTAAACGGGTTTTCGGGCACCAATCACGCCACTGACCAGAGAACCGCTGCAGATTCCCACCCGCAACTGGAAGTTGTTGAATGCTTCCCTGTTGATATCCTCCAATTTTTGTTTCATGGCAAATGCAAATTCGACCAGGCTGCAGACACTATCCTCAGAGGTTTCTCCTCGATCCCTGAGACGATCGGCATTCAGCCCCGAAGCTGCCATGTACGTTGTACCACACGTTTTAATCTTTTCAATTGAAGCGAATCGTGGCTCTTCCAGCAACTCATCAAAGTCACCTGCAGGATAGAAGAGGATAGTTGTGAAATAATCCACTACCTGGTCGTAAATCAAAATGGCTTACAAATTATTTCATTCAGTATTCGGATACACGCTTTTCCATTATCTATATCCTCCGAATAGAAATCCTGAAAGTTCGGAATGGATGCAAACATCACGCCGCATAAGTTATGATTGTTGGAGTACAGCTCGTCGGTGTGTTCATCCGATAGGTAATATTCCGCGACATGGTCCGGAAGAATATTCTATAATTTTGACAAATAATTGTAAAAGCCCATGATGGAGGATAATTGGGACATACCTTGATCAATGTGTCATTCAAAGCTCGATTGGATTTCATGTTGGTCAATTCCCTTTCGGCTTGTTCTTTCCAGATAAAATCCAAGCGGGAGGTAACCTGTGTAAGAAAGATGCGTTTTTTCAAATAGCAGATTTAGACAGGGCCAACTAGCAGAAAATTAAAATATACAACAAGTAAAAAAACATTAAGTTCGGCCGGGCCAAACTTTTAATACCCTCCACCTTAGGGTAAAGGAAACATTAGACGAAATGTGGCAAAAACCATCAAAATACCGTATATCAGGAGGAACCATTATATGGGGGCTATACCAAATCGTAGAAATACCAATTTTCAGACAAATCCGTGAAAAAATGTGGCAAAAAGCATAAAAATACCGAATATCGAGAGGTACCTTTATATGGGGGCTATACCAAATCTTGGACCTATACAAGCCATACAGGGACCCGTCATGACCTACAAATACCAATTTTCAAAGAAATCAGTGACCAAATGTGGCATAAATAATCAAAATACCGAATATCGGGAGGTACCGTTATATGGGGACTATACCAGAACGTGGACCGATATATCTCATTTTCAATACCAACTATCCTAGACACAATACAAATTGCTCTGCTAAATTTTGGCGCTCTATGTCAAAAAATGTGGGCTGTATCGTGATTTCAACAGACAGACGGACACACAGACAGACGGACATCGTTAAATTTTATGCTGTTTATGAATATATATACTTTATGGGATCTACGACGAATATTTAAGGATGTTACAAACGGAATGACAAAGTTAATATACCCTCCTTTCCAAGGTAGAGGGTATAAAAATGGTCCGTACTATAATATAATGTATTAAAAAAGATTTTTAATTTTTAAAATCATAAATATATAATAATTCCGAATATGGAGGGTACCGTTATATGGGGGCTATACGTAGACGTGGACCTGCACAGACAATTTTCTAGCATGGGCTGAAATATCCATTACGAACTTCACATGCGAAATTTGAAACAATCCCGGTAAATAGTGTCGCTAAAATCATCAAAATGCCGAATATTGGGGGGTACGGTATATGGGGGCTATATGAAGACGTGGACCTACATGGCCCATTTTCTGTTTTATGCTGCAGTATCTATTACGAACTTCAAATACCAAATTTACAACAATTCCGCTAAATAATGTCGCTAAAATCTTCAAAATACCGAATATCGGGGGGTACCGTTATATGGGGGCTACACGAAGACGTAGACCTGCACAGATAATTTTGTGTCTTACGCTGTAGTATCCCTTAAGAACTTCAAATGCCAAATTTGAAACAATTCCGGTGAATAATGTCGCTAAAATCATAAAAATACCGAATATCGGGAGGTACCGTTATATGGGGGCTATATGATAACTTGGAGCTACATGGCCCATTTACAAACTTAACCTGCCTACTGGCAAAATATACATGTGTGCAAAATTTAGCCTTCTATCTCAATTTGTTCGAAAGATAGCGTGATTACAACAGACAGACAGACAGACAGACAGACAGACGGACAGACAGACAGACACACAGACAGACAGACGGACATGGCTAAATCGTCTTAGAATTTTACGCTGATCAAGAATATATATACTTTGTTGGGTCTGACATGAGTATTTCGAGGAGTTACAAACGGAATGACAAAATTAATATACCCTCCATAGTATGGTGGAGGGTATAAAAATGAGCCATGTGGGTCCACGTCTTCATATAGCCCCCATATAACGGTATCCCCCGATATTCAGTATTTTGATGAATTTAGCGACATTATTTAGCGGAAACGTTCCAAATTTGGCATTTGAAGTTCGTAATAGATACTGCAGCATAAAACAGAAAATGGGCCATATAGGTCCACGTCTTCATATAGCCCCCATATACCGTACCCCCCGATATTCGGTATTTTGATGATTTTAGCGACATTATTTACCGGGAATGTTTTAAATTTCGCATGTGAAGTTCGTAATGGATACTTCAGCCCATGCCAGAAAATTGTCTGTGCAGGTTCACGTCTTCGTATAGCCCCCATATAACGGTACCCCCATATTCGGTATTTTGATGATTTTAGCTACATTATAAACAGATTTTTCTTCAAGTTTCGCATTTAAATATTGCAATAACTTATGACAAAAGTTACCTATGCAGGCCTACATCGTCGTATAGGCATTCGGTATTTTTAAGATTTTAACAGAATTTTTAACGGATTTTATTTTTTGGAAATCGCCAAATTTGTACCAAATGTTGGAGGGTATTAAAAGTTCGGTCCGCCCGAACTTACAGCTTTTTTACCTGTTCATCATAGTATAATTCAATGACGATTCAACAAATATTCGGTCCCGTGCTACTTTCTTATATTTGTAATTTGTTCATGTTTTCACAATTTATTTCATATAGATTTACATCCCAAATCTACGTTCCCAACCAATATTCTCTTGGGGGTTACAAATTCAATAGAATACAAAATTTTCTTTTCTGACCACACATTAGATGTGAAAGTGGACTTGAGGATACTCCAATGTGGGGACTTTACTTAAAGAAATTCCTATGGGGCAATTATCTGTATGATGGTTCCCTACCCCAAGGCAGCATATATACGATTTTTTAGCCAAATCAATTGATGAATGTGTTCAAGACCAATATGGGCCCTACTCTGAAAATTTCAAATTTTATGCGAAGAGGTTCTCTACCCCCTTAGAAACAAAGATGCCAAATAACGGCAAAAAATGAAAAAAAGTAGCCAAGACCCCAAAAATAGCTTAAATCATACGATGGTTATATAAATATGAAATTGGGTTGTACCCTTATCCGTGAGTTATCATCGATATGATGACCTGCAAAAGCGATTTAAGTATCTTGAATGTTTGGGAAGAATTTCTGGGAGGATAGAAATCCTTTTCTTACTAAGAGTCCCATTCGCTCTACTATTTTCCACCCTTTATGTTTGGTATTTTACTGACTGTACTCCCAAAGAATTTTGCATTTTGAGCTCTCATTGGACGGATTATTGTCACATGAAAGAAGTAGGTTCACGCTACGCTAGCCCCATTAGGCTTTTTCGGTAATTTTTGTTTGTTTAAATGTGTTCGCATCTTCCAGCTGAACCACGATGTCGGCCCTGGAGTTGAAAGGTAGATGTCGCACTTATTTCATTTTTTTTTTTTTTTGATGAAAAATTGTATACAGTGAAAAATTATTCTTTATTTTGTTCACAAAAATCCACTGAATTCAATATGATAATACAAATTGAAAAAAAAAAAATTGACAAGAGAAGAATAACAAATTGAAAAAATCTTCAACTTGTTCGCTGACTTTTTACAGCAAATGTTTAAAGATCCTTACAAAGTTTGTCAATAGAATGTACTATTATTTTAAAGTTGGATTCCATTGAACATTTTTTTTCGATAATTTTCGCGATTTGAGAATTTTTGCAATGAGATCTCTTTTTCGTGTTTTTTAGCTATTTTGAAAAAGTAATTATCTTTTAAGTTTGGTGTGACCGCGTTAAATTATTTCGATATCATATATTCCGTTTCGCCACCACATAATTTTGTACTACACTTCCATGTAACCCAACATCAATTTCAGTTCTCAAGAAATTAAGTCAATTAAATAAATTGGTATTAATATTCGAATTCAAAAATAAAATATAAAATTAAAAAACACTACAAATGTACATTAGAAAAAAGTTAGTCAAAATCGAAAAAAGTCATGCAAAATAAAACATTACTATTGTACATTTCAAAAGTCAAAATGAAAATGTATATATATCACATTTTTACGCGTTTATTTCGATATTATCCTTTTCGGACAGGAGCCAATTCCGAATTTGTATGAATCGTTATCCAGCGGTTCTTATGTTATAAGCGTAGTAACTAACACAACTTTCTTTTATGTATATAGATTTACAGAAAACCTAAAAGTTAATTGAATATTGGGAAGCGGTCAAATGAAAAAAATCGAAAAGATGGATAAATTCGAATATCCATATTCTCCAAATCCAAATACAATTAAAATGTTTTAAATTATGAATGGGATTCTCGAATTACGAATGAAGTGTAACGCATTATAACTAAAGTGTTTCGAATTACATTTCTTAAAGAGAGCACGGCGATAAGAATTTTTGAATATTTTTGTCCACTAACAGTCGGATACGATTTCCCCAAACTTAGAAGCTTTGAGTTTCCAAGACGATTACCTGCGTCCATGCGAAAAACTTACCTCCACCAGACGGGCATGGTAACACACCATGACCAAAAATGATGCCAACAGAATCAACATTTGTACACCCAGTGGCATTCCCAGCCGCGATTGCTCCAGCTCGATCAGTTCTTTGGTATAGATACGCGGGAACACCGATTGTATGAGGGTGGTGTAAAAAGCCACCATGCAAATGGCCATGAGGACCTTGACTAGGTAGTAAAGTTTGAGTGCCGTTGCTAGGGAGACGAGGCAGAGAATCCACGTGAAGACAACGTACTCGGGATGGGCACACTCGGCCGTATCCATGTCGGAGGTGTCCATGTAAATCACAGTATAGTTGGAATCGGTGATGACACCGTTATTTGTGATAATGCTGCTGTTGATGTCTTCCGCTCGCTGCCCACCAAATATCAATGCACGATGGGAGGTTTCGAACGGTTCCATGGAGTTGTTCAAGAGACCGATAGCATTGGCTTGGGTGAGGTTCAGGACGTTTACAATACTCCGGCGCACAAAGTCGTTTGTCGTTGCGTTGGCCAAGTTGTCTGCCAGAAATGAGTTGGTATCCAAAATGGCCCCTGCCCCATTGGCAGCATTTATTGTTATGTTGTGGTGTATGGTGGCCGACAAGTAAACATTCAGCTTGATTTCCTTCTCCCCACTACTAATCGATGTGGCACCACCGCCACCACCACTCTCGGGTAGAGCAGACTTTAGGCTGCTGCTTAAAATGGAGCGTTCATTACCTTCTTCGGCGCTAGGGACACCATCAAAATATGCCGAGGATGGGCACAATATCAGACCAATGGCACTAAGGACTGTGATCAGAACAATAACCGCACAAATGAAATAGGTTCGCCGCTGACGTTGGTGCACCAACTTGGCGGAATTGCGTTTCAATAGGGTGGGGAGGCCTTCAAATACGAAAAATACAAATGTTATAGCCCTCCACTGATCCATCGAATTCAGCCAGACTTACCGGAGAATTCCTCGGCCATGACTAGGATGCAGCTAAAAGTTAAAACTATCGTACCTATGGCTAAACAAATCACCAGGTTTGTACATCGGGGAATGATGATGATCTGGCACAGCACAATAAATATCCATATCACAAATACACACAACATGTTGGAACTGTTGGATAGACAAATGATCGTCGAACCGAACTCAAATTCTTCTTCACAACATCTAAACTTACCGGAACATGTCCTCACGCAATTGACAGAATTTCATTTCTTGCTCTTTGTCCTTAAACTTGAGAGTCCACGAACTGAGGTACTCCTTGCGTATCTCTTTGTTTGAATTGATTTGGATGTTTTGTTCGATGAATTCATCAATCTGTCGATGAAGAAGAATTTCAATGCATACAGTATTTAAAGTAGTGTTTAAAATTACCCACCTCTTCGTCCAGCGGCGTTACAGAAACTCGTTGCCCCTGTCTGGGATCTCCCATTACTGACTCCGATCGTATTACACCTTCACTGGGTGAGTTAAGCTGAAATATTAAGAATTGTTTTTGAAATTGAATTTAGTTCGTTGAATCAAATCAAATCACTTGAATATGTAGGTAGAGAAGGCTCAAATTGTTTTCTGTATGACCATAATTAAATTGAATGAAAAATTCAGACAGGAATACGCTGTAATAAAGGCCGAAGGAGAAAGTGAGATTTAATTCATTCATTATTTTTTTTTTATTTTCACATAAAACTCACACATTCTTACTTCACGAAATTTATCGTTTTTATAATTTTTTAATCGAATCCCACAAAAAAGCAGTCGTTCTATCTGAATTTTGTGTTTAATTTCACAACATTTAATTTTTTTTGGTCTGCTGATGGTGGGTTTGATCTGGCGATTTTCTGATTGGTAGTTGGGTACACCACGCACCCAGATACTGTTACGATGAACATTTATTTAGGACTCGTTTCAATGGTAGAAGAATGGAGGTAGATGCACTAACACTTGGGAACATTGATATGTCAAAAAATTTTAAGAGTTTAAGAGTAAAAGTCCTGCAGACTTAATACACATTTGAGTAAAAAAAACAGACAGACGGACATCTTTAAATCGACTTCGAATTTTATGCTGATTATTAATGTATATATATTTTATGGGGTCTTTGACGAATATGCAGGGATGTTACAAAAGGAATGACAAAGTCAATATACCCTCCTTTTTAAGGATGGTACAATTATTCCACTTGATATTTCAATTATTTCATTTGTAATTTTAATTTATTATCATTTGAATTATAATTGCAATAATTCGCTTTACAATTGGAATAATTCGAATAACCGAATTACAATTTAAATAATTCGAATTACAAAAGAAATTCTCGAAATGAAATTTTACGAATTATGTCCAAAATTATTCGAATTTCAACTAAAAAAGGTGTAGTAGTATTTGTGAATGTCATTTGTAGTAGTATTTGTAAATGTGTTAAGCGTTGCTGCTGTCTATAGTATTGGCCAATCCCAATGTTACTTATTACCATGTAATAAGTAACGGCGCCACAAAGTGTGCGGGTACGACTACAAAACAGATGGTTGTGAGCTTGAGACTCGAGTTGCTGATGTAGACGTTAGACATTAAACTAGAAGGTAGTGTGTTCAGTTCCAGCAGAGGACAAAATTAAAAAGTGTGTCGTGGCAAAATGGACCTCAAACGTTCTAAAGATTTAAAAAATACTTTTATACCCATTCGTATATCGTATAGATCCCAATATGACGGCGACTTCCTATATATGGTATTTTTAAGATTTTAACAAAACTTAACGGATTCTATATTTTTTTTAATTGACAAATTCGTTCCATGTGGTGAAGGGTATTTAAAGATCGGCCCGGCCCAACTTACTGCTTGTTTACTTGTTCTACATTAATATGAAATATTTTATAACGTACTTGTTGGGCGCGCTTAAAAGTATGTTACGAAAATGTATTTATAAAATGTAACAAAAATCATTTTCCTTAATCAAATTGATTTCATCACCCGAATACTCCAAGCCGATTAAATCTACCCCATTAGCATCGAGCAGGATATCATCAAATACAGCAAACCCTTCACATTTATGACATTAATCATCTATAATTAAGTCGATCAAATCTCCCGTATATACCAAACCGATTACATCTACTGGAAACCAACTTCATCAGCTCGCATGCGCTCAGCCGACTACATTAACCCGGAAACCTCTAGCCGACTGCATGGGAATATTATAAGCCTGTTTTCACCAGGACGGCTTTATCATCCCGAATATCATAGCCCTGCATACATCCAGCCGAATATTATTGAGTTGACTATTGACTACCATCGGGCCGATTGTTTCCAAGACACGAGTGTTAAAACAGAATGTTACTTATTATTAACACAATATTACATATTTTAAACGACAAAGGATAATTTGAGGTTTGTAGGTCTTTGAGCTGACCCTGCCTCAGCTGACTGAGTTTACCTACAGTTTAGATAAAACCACTCGTTATAATACTTTTTATACCCCCCACCATCCTATGGAGGGTATATTAACGTTGACATTCCGTTTGTAACTGCTCGAAATACTCATGTTAGACCTTACAAAGTATGTATATTCTGGATCAGCGTAAAATGTTAAGTCGATTTATCGAAGTCCATCTGTCTGCTGTAATCACGCTATATTTCGAATGAATTGAGATAGATGACTAATATTTGGCATGCGTTTGTATTTTTCCAGTAGGCAGGTTAAGTTCGTAAATGGGATATGTCGGGCCACATTATCTTTTAGGCCCCATATAACGGTACCTCCTGCTATTCGGTATTTCAATTATTTCAGCGACATTATTCACCGGAATTGTTTCAAATTTCGTACATGAAGTTCTACATACTACATATGACGCGAAAATTGGGTACGCAGGTCCACGTCTTCGTATAACGTTACCTCCTGATATTTCGTATTTTAATGATTTTAGTAACATTATTCATTGGAATTGTATAAAATTTCGTATTTGAAGGTCTTAATGGCTATTACAGCCTGTGAGAAATTGTGTATGCAGGTCCAGGTCTTCGTTTAGCCCCCATATAACAGTACCTCCATTTATTCGGTCTTTGATGACATTAGCGACATTATTCACAGGAATGCTTGCAAATTTCTTATATGAACTGCGGAATCGGCCTATGGAAGAAAATTATTATAGCTCCACGTCTGAATTTAGCTCGTGGTACTCAGTGCATGTGAAATAGGGAAATGCCACACACAATTCTGTTTGAGGTAAGCTAATGGTTTTAAGCAAATTCGGTAACTAAATCATGTGCAATATAAGGTAGGTCGGACATATTTTGATTCAATTGTAAAATTGTAGTGTTCTTGGCCGACCTTATATCGTCCTTGTTTCATAATAGCTTGCAGTTTCTGAATATTTCCCCAGAAAGTTAAACAAACAAAACAAAGTTATTGCAACTGTATTGATAGTAATTCTGACAGTAAAAGCCATATAGGTATGCATGTATTTTTAGAGAATGTAAGAGCGACGTGTTCCTGAAGTGTAAGCTGTCATTGTTCTTCCTCTGCATCTTTGCATAACAAGTAAAAAAAATTAAATTCGGCAGGGCCGAACCTTTGGGTACAGAAAACATTTTTATATAAAAAAATCTGGATTCAAACATGCTCCACTTTAAAGTACAAATGCTATTAAGATAGTTTGGATAATGCAGTTTGAAAGTGTTTGAAGCCGTTATATGGGCGTCATGCCAAAATGTGAACCTGTGATAAATGTGAAAATTTATACTGCCAGGATTGTTATGAATAATTGAATGAATCCAAAATACCAGATTTGAAACTATTTCGTGGGAAATGTGACTAGGATTTTCAATAAAACGAATATCGGTACCATTATATGTGCGCTATGGGATAACGTGGACCTAGATAATAAATATTTTGCCATCGCAGCAAGAACCCATTTTGAACTACAAATAACAATTTTTAGACAAATCCGTTATAAAATGTGGCAAAAATCATAAATCTACCGAATATCAGGAGGTATCATTATATGGGGGTTATACGAAAACCTGGACCTATATATACAATGTTCCGCCACCGTAGCTAGAACCTATAATGAACTACAAATACCATTTTTTAGACAAATCCGTAAAAAATGTAGGGAAAATCATCAAAATACCGAATATCGGGAGGTCCCGTTATATGGCGGCCATCAGAAAACGTGAACTATATAAAAAATTATCCTCCACAGGAGTGAAACTTATTAAGAACTACAGACACCAATTTATGGACAAATCCGTACAAAAATGTGACTGAAATCATCAAAATACCGAATAAGGGATGTCCGTTATATGGGGGCTATACCAAAACGTGGACCTATATATACAAAGTTCTGTCACCGGAGCTAGAATCCGTTACGAACTACAAATAACATTTATTGAACAAATCCGTGAAAAAATGTGGCGAAAATGATCAAAATGTCGAATATCGGGAGGTTCCGTGTATGGGGGCTATACCAAAAATGTGGACCGATATATATCATTTTCAATTCCAACGATCCTAGACCTAGTACAAACTATTGTGCCAAATTTTATGCTGATCATGAATATATATACTTTATGGGGTCTACGACGAGTATTTACGGATGTTACAAACGGAATGACAAAGTTAATATACCCTCCTTTTCAAGGTGTGGGTATAATAACAACCCATTCTCATGTGTATTTGGGGACCAACAATGGATTTATGAATATACATTTTGACAATAAACATCTCAAAAAAAGTTAACATATCATTACACGGTGTAACCTTCTTAATTCTACCATGCCCAGTAAGTAGTTTTGGGATTAAAGAAAAATGTGATATGCTAACCTTTGAGGTTCTACAGAACTTGCCAGAGAATACATACATTTTTGAATGGGATTTCTGGAGTCCATTCTGTGGTCGGTTCGTCTTCCGTTATCATTGACCTCGGATCAATATTCTCCAGAATACTCCGAATGCTGTCGCCATTCGGTGCCTTTGGCGCCAGGGTGGCTATTGGCGATGATACCGTTGAGGGTCCGGTGGGTCCCATGGCAACGCCTTCCGTCACGTTGGGCAATGAGCTCAATGAAATATTTTTCTTTTGCAGAGCAGCAAGTGGCGGTGGAAGATGCGGTACATTTTGATTCTGCTGTTGTTGTGTCTGAGAATTGGTCCGGGACAGAACTGGCAGTAGTTGAGGTGGCTGCTGTTGTTGTGGCGGCTCGTTGTGAACCCCGGTCGTAGATATTGACTTGGGAACAAATGTTTTGGTATCCGTTGTCGGAGTCATGGCTGTTGTTGGTGTGCTAAAATTGCTGCCGTTGTTATTGGCCAGGTGTTGGCTGCTGCGGGTGCCAAATCGTCGTTTAGGCCTGTAGGAGAGAATATTTATATATATGTGTATGTGTTATAAAATTTACTTAATTTCATTTTGATGAATATTAGGCCAGAGCAAAAATGATTTGCACTGTTTTTTTGTTTCAGAACGAGGGTCTTCGCCCATTGAAAAAGGTTTTAGATCTCCAAAGTCAGGCTGTCGAAAGGAGATGAATTTAGCTTTTTCAATAAAATAGAAATCTATAAGAATGTGTTATAGATTTATTTTCTTTAAAGAAATAATCTTCTTCAATTTGCTTTTGCCGAATTCCCCTACCCTGGCAATAGTTCGAGTGACTGTACTATGCTATTGTGTGTGCTATCATTTTACATTTGAATCCGCCTTGGTGTAACCGAACGCATACACACAAGTACCTACATATATGTGTAACTACCTTAATGGTTCAGTGCGTTTGATTAAATACGTTTTAATATTTAACATTTTCAGATGGTTGTCACGACTACCGCCATTGCCTGGCTCCACTTCGTAGGCATCGTTGAGGCATTTGAGGGTGGCTTCCGATATGTGTACGCGCCTGGAATGCAGTAGAGTGTATTGTAATTTGAGCATAACTTTAATTAAAACAACAGCAACAACGGTAAGGAGGAGTTGGCGTTGAAGCAATTCTGTACATACCCTGGTATTCCGCCTGATTCCATGTGATTTGCAATGATGACATCGTTGGACCAAACATCAAAGTGCCATTTTTTATTGCCGAGAACGCCGCACATCACAGAGCCACTATGGATGCCGATTCGCATATTGAGATCAACCTGTGAAAAAATTGTATGAATTGAGCGAAATGTTACTTCTCGGTCTCTGTCAGGGTAAGAAAATTAAAAATAGTATTCTTGAGACGAAAGTTTGTTTAGCAGACACGAGACCCGAATCTGATGCTGTCATTCAGGTCCAAATCGTTAATGCCAGAAATTCTATACATTTGAGTCAAATTTCAAATCGACATAGAGTCTAATCCTGCGATTGTTATTTATGTTCCATTGAAGTGTCTTAAATTTGTGAAAACAGTTGGTGGGGGGAGAACCACAGCGAATTTATTAGAATCGTGATATCTTGGAAATGGCAAATCTTAGGATAAAATTTTTGATAAAACATAACTGTTTCGATAGAAGTCGATAAAACTAAAAGTGGTGACCTTTGACCTCGAATAACATTTTCTGCTCACATGAGATTTGTAGAATCTGAACTTTAACTTCATACCAAAATTCAGCTTTATGCGATTATTTGTTTAGAATTAAATTTGGCGGTTAGGTTAAACGTAGTTCCCGAAGCACGATTTTTGAAACTTTCGAAAGGTGTGGCTGAAATGTAAACGTGGACCTATAGATAACGCCTTTGATACCAAACATCTACGGAATAATTTAAATATCTGTGCAAAGTTCCAAAGCTATAGAGAAATATCGAATCAGATAGAAAGACTTTTTAACTTATTTATTTACACTCTATGCGTTCTCGTTCCTCCCTATCTTTCTTGGCAGATGAAGTTGGCGATCAATGGAAAATTGGACCCAATCCTTTTTCGTTTCAATACAAAACATATCAGTGGAGTATGAAGAGAACGCGAAATAAACTAAGCATAGCTTTGTGAACGCAACACCAAAGACCAGGAGACCCCACCACCGACTACGTCGGTAATCCAACTTGGTTATAAAATACTGCAAAGAAAACTGTAAAATACCTCAAATCGAAGATAGACTTACATGGGGCTCTACATCCAAAAGTTAATCAATTGTGCCAGTTAATTCATGAAGATAAAGTAATTTGCAAATTTCAGAAAGCCATTTTCAAATGTTTATAGAAATAGATTTTAAACTAGTATTTTGCAAAATCCGTAAAGAAAGAAAAAAGTGGGACAGACAAGGTAGTAGAATTATACGCAGGAAATAAGCGTTTATATGGCGAATTTACATGAAGTAAATCAAATCAACTTTGAACTTTATTGATTGCGGGTTCCAGGCTAAATCGTCGAATATGCTAATATCGATCTAATTTGGGCTGACCTTACATATTTGATGCACAATGAACCTCATATCACCACAGGATAGAACGAACAACTCCTACTCCTAAAAACGCGAAGTGAACATCCGATTCCCTTCAAACTCGGAATATATAAATATTTATGTTAACGGAAGATCAGGTGTGATGATGGAATATATTAGACTACTCCTTCTGGTACCTTTCCCCAAGCTTTTAAGTGCAATGGTTAAAGTTTTAAAATAATTAGTAATACGACAAACATAGTGCATCCCTACTATCCCAGTATCAGTCTTCTCGAATAGAATCTAGAATTAAAAATTTATAATTGAGCCTTTTTAATCGTCCATCTGTGACAAGGATAAATTTTATTTGAAATCGTGTTATGTTCTTGCCTCTGCAGTCCATGATGTGGGCTCGAAGATAAGACCCAAAAACAGAACATGGGACCACCACAAGCAAATCCCGAGCAAATAAAAACAATTTGGCACACAAAACCGGCGAATGCGTCGTTGCTGCTTCTGTTGTTGTTGTTGCTGACGGTGCCAGGACACAAAATGTTTGCAATTAATGCAGATACACGTTACTAGCAGCGATAAAACAATTCCAACGTTGATGAAAACCGAACAAACACGTAACCACGGCCAACAACGTAAGGACAACGACAGAGAAATGTCAGAGGTGCGCACGTTATGTGTGGTTGTTGTACTTCGAAGTAGGAAGAAGGATGGCTTTTCTTTTACTATTTACTTTTGTTTTACTTCTTTCTGTAAAAGCAAAAGGGTACTTACGTGAGTATGCAACTGTACATCCTTGATGGCCTTTATCATGTGCAGGCCAGTCTCGACACTGCAGACGGCGTGATCTGGACGTGTTTTCCAGTTATCACTTTCAAATTGCGATACACAATAGTAGCAATCACCCAGTAGCTTGACTCGCAAACAATGATTATCCTGTGGACGAAAAAGAGAGAAGGACGATTATAAAAAACTAAAACAAACATTTTTATGTGTGTGAGTATGTATGTATTTTTGTACATACGCCCATGCCAGGATGACCTAGTGTGTCCATGGCATTGCAGGCAGACAGACTCACGGACGAGGAGGTAGTTAGGGAAATGGTACTTCGTTTTACTGCCATTAAAACAGGTGTTTCAACACGAGCCACAAGGATGTTGGCGCAGAATGAATTTGGTATTAAGCAAAGCTATTTAAAAATGACATCTATTCAATTTGGGTACAGTGTCTAGGAATAATTAATCAGAAATACATACAGGTTCTTTGACATGGAATAGCCCAGCTGATATACTGTTTGCGTTATTGGTGTTTTTCGGTCAGATTGATCAATTCTTTTGTGGAATGGGCTTAAGGTTTTCCTTCATTAAAGTAACGACGTGTATGTCCGATAACAATGTACAGTAAGATTTTTTATATCCTATATGGACTATTTGGGTCTTGAAATTAAATGTGTCCATTATAAGTTATTTTCCAACTGCAAATTATGGATCGAGCCCCACAAAATTTTTTATATATATATATATATATATATATATATATGTATATAAATATATATATATATATATATATATATATATATATATATATATAAATATATATATTTTATATATATATATATATATATATATATATATATTTATATATATATATATATATATATATATATATATATATATATATTTATATATATATATATATATATATATATATATATATATATATATATATATATATATATATATATTTATATATATATATATATATATATATATATATATATATATATATATATTTATATTTCATCTCGATCGGGCAATGCACAAAGTGGTGTAGTACAAATAACACAAAATTTGTTATATATATATATATATATATATATATATATATATATGTATATAAATATATATATATATATATATATATATATATATATATATATATATATATATATATATATATATATATAAATATATATATATATATATATATATATATATATATATATATATATATATATATATATATATATATATATATATATATATAACAAATTTTGTGTTATTTGTACTACACCACTTTGTGCATTGCCCGATCGAGATGAAATATAAATATATATATATATATATATAAATATATATATATATATATATATATATATATATATATATATATATATAAATATATATATATATATATATATATATATATATATATTTATATATATATATATATATATATATATATATATATTTATATTTCATCTCGATCGGGCAATGCACAAAGTGGTGTAGTACAAATAACACAAAATTTGTTATATATATATATATATATATATATATATATATGTATATAAATATATATATATATATATATATATATATATATAAATATATATATATATATATATATATATATATATATATATATATATTTCATCTCGATCGGGCAATGCACAAAGTGGTGTAGTACAAATAAACAGTGTCGAATTTCACTATGAGCTTCCTTTAAAATCGAAAATCAATTTAGGTTTACTTGCAATAAGACTTATTTTGACAATTTTTCCCAAAAATAACCACGTTTCGATGGTGGTGCTAATGGAAGAAATCTTCTAGGGTCTATATTACTATTTTTTTTGGAATCAAGGCAATAGAAATTTGTGGAATTTCTAGATCTTAAGATCTCACTATGAACCCTTCTTGCATCTATATATGATGAAACTTAAAAGGCGTTATATTATCGGAAGGGATATCCTTCTAGAACTTACATCATTATGGCGTATAACGAAATTGATCGATTATCTAGTGCTCCAACAAACTCAACGATAATAATTGCCCTCCGCTGTACACGTGATATCGCAATTTTTTAAACACCATTCATTTGACTTACCTCGGCTATTCTGTCGAATCGTGCAAAAAGGTCATTTAATATTTTCACCAGTTGCTGGGCTGAAGTCTTGCTCGCCAATTCTGTGAAGCCCTGTGCAAAGTATAGAAAGGACAAAACGACAATTTATAATTTTAAACGTTCTAATTAAACAGAGTTTTTGTTGTTATTCGTATCTGATGGATGTGATATCTGACTGCAACCGGAGAGGTTGCATTTTGTGACTCACCTTGATGTCGGCGAACAGAATGCTGACGTTGTCCATGGGATAGACGTACAGTTTGTTGAATTGTGTCTCGACATTGGGATCTGTGCCCTTGTACATTTCGCGACGTATCTGATTATTGACGATGTTTGGCAGAACTGTTAAATGAATTGATTAAACACACAAATGAGTTGTCACTTAAGGTTGGCTATCAAATATGTCTCTGCTGGTCTTAGACAAAGAGAAGTGTTGTCTCTGAAACGCATTTCTGGGGACTGTTGTGGGTAATATAAATTTAAATCGGCTGTTGTACCTGTTCGATTGTCTATTTGTACGGTACCTGTAGAATTCCGTGGAAGTGTGATTTTACCCAGTCCACAAGGTCAAGTTGATTTTATTTAACGACACATGGATCGTAAAGTCATTCAAATGGATTATAGATCTGATTCACTCCCTTTGGATTTATGCATACATGCACATACCTATCCCGAAATCTAATTATTTTAGGTCAAGTATAAAGAGGACAATTCTTTTAAACTGGCCCAATATTTATAACTAGCAAATGCACGCTACTTCGTATGTGGGGAAAGGAATTTATGAGTGATTTTTATCCCATATTGATAGAATTTAACAAAATACCACAATTTCTTAATATCAAGAAATAAATTGGAGGACTAATTTTAATATATAACGAAAATAGTTGCCTTGCATGTGATAAATTCAGTTCTTTGCTGTTAAATTAATTTCTAAACATGGGCACATAGGTATATGTAGCGTTGTATTTGTCATCCTTTGTAAAAAATAAATATATTTTACAGTGATCGTAATACCAAAATTCACAAAATTCACTAGCTCCTGCTCTATGTAACAAATTCAGTATCGTTTAGTACTTTTCGTAATCGTTGTAGAACGCATTCGCAAATCGGCCTGCTCACATAAAAGCTGCACACTTCAAATGATCCTAATGTAAACATTTATATTTCAAATTCTGCTTTTAATCTCTCTACCGAATTCACTACTTTTCGTATACTATATATCACGCATTTCTAAAAACTGTCCCTTGTCTTACTCACAGTTACCCTACACAGTCACAGTCATTCCTATACCAATATTCACAATTCCAGTTATTTTCCTGCACTCTATATCAAATTTAATACCTTACCATTTAAAGAATGTTTTTCGTATTATCTAAACGCATCGCATTCACAGTTGTCCTATTACCAAAATTTATAATACCGCTCTATTCCTATGCTATTTGCTAAATTTAGTACCATTTTACTCACTTTGAAACTGTATCAAATTTAGTATCATTTAGTATATTTTTATACCCTCCACCGTACTAAGGAGGGTATACTTTGTCATTCCGTTTGTAACTCCTCGAAATACTCATGTCAGACCCAACAAAGTATATATATTCTTGATCAGCGTAAAGTTCTAAGACGATTTAGCCATGTCCGTCTGTCTGTCTGTGTGTCTGTCTGTCCGTCTGTCTGTCTGTCTGTCTGTCTGTTGTAATCACGCTATCTTTCGAACAAATTGAGATAGAAGGCTAAATTTTTGCAGACATGTATATTTTGCCAGTAGGCAGGTTAAGTTCGTAAATGGGTCATGTAGGCCTAAGTTATCATATAGCCCCCATATAACGGTACCTCCTGACATTCGATATTTTGATGATTTTAGCGACATTATTTACCGGAATTGTTTCAAATTTGGCATTTGAAGTTCGTAATGGATACTACAGCCTAAGACAGAAAATTGTCTGTGCAGGTCCACGTATTTGTATAGCCCCCATATAACGGTACCTCCCGATATTAGGTATTTCGATGATTTTAGCGACATTTTCCACCGGAATCGTTTCAATTTTGGGATTTGAAGTTCGTAATGGATACTTCATCCTAAGTCAGAAAATGAGTTATGTAGGTCCACGTTTTCATATAGCCCACATATAACGGTACCCCCCGATATTCGGTATTTTGATGATTTTAGCGACATTATTTAACGGAATCATTCCAAATTTGGTATTTGAAGTTCGTAGTAGATAATGCAGCATAAAACAGAAAATGGGTCATGTAGGTCTACGTCTTCGTATAGCCCGCATATACCGTACCCCCCGATATTCGGTATTTTGATGATTTTAGTGACATTATTTACCGGGATTGTTTCAAATTTCGCATTTGAAGTTCGTAATGGATACTTCAGCCCATGTCAGAAGATTGTCTGTGCAGGTTCACGTCTTCGTATAGCCCCCATATAACGGTACCCTCTATATTCGGTATTTTGATGATTTAAGCTACATTACAAACAGATTTTTCTTCATGTTTCGCATTTAAAAATTGTGATAACTTATGACAAAAGTCGCCTATGCAGGCCCACGTCGTCGTATAGGCATTCGGTATTTTTAATATTTTAACAGAATTTTTAACGGATTTTATTTTTTTGGAAATTGTCAAATTTGTACCAAATGGTGGAGGGTAGCTTTTTTACTTGTTTACACGTAGTACACATTTCCAAAAACTTACTCCAATCCCATCTCCGAGAATTGATTCTAATACTAACTTTTACAACTATCCGTTTACATAATTCCAAATAGTACCAAATTTAGTGTACTTTTGGTAAGAATTTCGAAAACTCTGTTACACCACATCAAAAAATCTCACCACAATTTTCAAATTTCCAGCTCTATTCCTTCCCCTAAAAGATAAAACTATTTAGTACTTTTTAGTACGTATTTTCAAATTTGATTTAAACTGCAAAAAAGTGATCCTAATTCAAAATTTTAGACTTCCAACTCAGTCCCTTATCCAAATACCAACTTTAGTACCATTTAGTACTTCTTGGTACGTATTTCCAAATCTCAACCCCATAGACTAACAGTAACTAATGCCAAATTTCAATGCTGAAAACATATCAAGCCCAACTTTTTATCTTAACCCTACCCAACAGCAGAGAACGCAATACGAACCTTTTAAATTTCTAGATCAGTCGATTCAAAGAAACCTAAATGACCAAATTAAGTAGCATTTAGTACAGTTGTTACACTTAGTACACATTTTCAAAAACAACAACCTACTGAAATCAACACTACTTCCCAAACTTAATTTTTATTCCAAACTAGCAGACCCGGTCCGTGTTGCTGGCCCTTGATGTATTGTTTAGTGCTTATTTTAACATTATAATCTCCAAATTAAATTGAATAGTCAAAACGATATACGTTTCAATCTTATGCCATTTTTCTAATTCTATAATTTACAAAAAAAAAACTATCGGTTTTCAGCTGCTGTCAATCTATCAAATTGCCGGCTTTTGTGGTTTAGGATCATTGATGTTTTTATTGTTTGTGGGTTATTGCTATAGTCTTTTTAGTCCATTTCTCAAAGGGACTCACTATGAATGAGTCCAATAAAGTTTCCCAATTGGGATATATTTTCTGTGTTTGAAGGTTTCGTTCACCGAATTGGTACAAATTTCTGAATCAAATCCAATGAAATGGGCGGAAATTTTGAATTCGAAACGTTTAGATAGAAGTTGTTTTGTTTTGTTTTCACCTTTCGATTGAAGGTTTAATAACCACTACTGTAAGCTTCTCATAGTAAAAAATATTCTATGGGGACATAGAGAATTAAATTCTACGACGATTCTGCCAGTCCTTTGGATTTTGAAAGAGGTCCTAATATTTTGGATAGATCTGAAAGTAGCACAAACTTATATATGATTCCTCTATCCTTAGGAATGACCCTCATATAATTCCACCACATGCCACTCGTCATTTCGCATGTTTCTGTTTGTTATGGACCTCATATAATGGCATCTTTTATGATATCCGGCACTTCACTGATCCCTAACCAAATGAGCTGCAATTTAGTATTTCGGTTTCTGATTGGATGCAATTTTGTCATACGAAAACAGAAGGCCCACGTTTTAGTCACAACTATTTGATTCAATTTTTCACTATGATTTCGAAAACGGATATATTACAAAATATATAACTCAATATAAAAAGTCAAATAGAAAAAAAAAATCATGTGATTTAAGAACAATTAAAAAATGAGATACAGGCATGTAACCAAACCGAATTGGAATGGTTTGAATTCCATAATTCAAAATCGATTGTTTTTGTATTAGCTTCTTCAGATTCCGTACTGAGTTTTGATTGTTTCTTTATTTTAGGAGCAAAGTAATGAACACAATACTGGCAAAAATAAGCCGAAGGAAATGCAGACCCCTTGCCCTAGCTTAGTTCAGTGTGAACAGTTTAATAACAAGTTTAGTTTTAACTTATAAACCAGTAAAGAAAGTCTTAAAGTGGGGGGGGGGGGGGGGGGGGGCGCGACTTTATGATACCCTACACCACTTTGCTAATTTAGTAGAGCTCCGCATAACAATTAAAAGTTCATACACGCTATGATTATAATTTAAAGTTCAAAGGACTAAATATGCCGAAGCATTTGTATCTTTTAAATTCGGACTTGTATTACCCATTTGGTCACAATTAACTTTAAATCGGATAAAGATATATATGGGAGCTATGTCCAAATCGGAACCGATCTCGATAAAATTTGGCAAAGATATTTCTGAGCTGTATTTGATATATTTGCCTGAAAATCGTCGTTACGGAGTGCATATTACAGCTGTGGGTAACAAATGTAACAAATCGGATGAACAATATATATGGGAGCTATAGCTATATCCGAACCGATCTTCACCAAATTTTACATACTAGCTTCTAGACTCAATTCGTTCGTAAGTGCCAAATTCCATACCATTTGGACAAATATTAGACGTTTGGTGCTCAATAAAAGGTAAATCGGACGAAGTTATATATGGGAGCTATATCCAAATCTGAACCGATCTCGATAAAATTTAGCAAATGTATTTCTGAGTTGTATTTGATATGTTTTCCAAAATATTGTTGTTACAGAGAGCATATTACGGCTGCAGAGGACAAAAATAACAAATCGGATGAACAATATATATGGGAGCTATAGCTGTGTCTGAACCGATTTCGATCAAATTTGGCATACTTATTTTCAGGCCTAATCTGGTTGCATGTGCAAAATTCCATACCATTCGACCTGATATTACACGTTTGGTGCACAATAAAAGGCAAATCGGACGAAGATATATATGGGAGCTATATCTAAATTTTGACCGATTATCT